TGCTCTCTAGTATCTAGTAGAGCAATACGTATCAATGTAGAAGAAGGGTTTGACTTTCTTGTTCTCCATCTTTACAAAATCTAATATATAAAATTGGATGTTTGTTGGTTGGTTGGTTGGTTGGTAAGTGATAAATTTCTACATCGCTCAACCGATCGCGATGAAACTTGACATGTATAAGTAATTTTTCATAGAGAAGGTTTTTAGACTATCAATTTTTCTATAACTCGCCACTAGATGGCCCTGAAGAAAAATTTTTTGAAAGCACTGGTCTATAACGCTGCGCACGCCTACATTCGTTGATTCTGATTCTGTCAAAACATTGGAACAGCAGCGATACAGCAATATAGTACTAGTCTAATATATAAAAATGGATATTTATTGGTTGGTTGATTGGTAAGTAATACACTTCTACATCACTCAACCGATCGCGATGAAACTTGACATGTATAAGTAATTTTTCATAGAGAAGGTTTTTAGGCTATCAGTTTTTCTGCAACTCGCCACTAGATGGCGCAGTAGATCAATTTTTGAAAGCACTGTTCTATAACGCTGCGCACGCCTAAGTTCGTTGATTCTGATTCTGTCAAAACATTGGAACAGCAGCGATACAGCAACATAGTACTAATTAGTACTACAACTACCAAATTCTAAGCGGGCGAAGCCGTGGGCAACAACTAGTAGAATTATAAAACAACCTTTCCAATGATTACCCAGCAACTACACTGCAGGAAGGTACCCCTGGTAGTAGGAGAATTGATACTCAAGATGCTCTCTAGTATCTAGTAGAGCAATAAGTATCAATGTAGAAGACATTACAGTGAAAGGACTGGTCATGAGGGGATGTCCACAGGGAGGGGGTCTTATCACCCCTTCTCTGGAACATAGTTCTGGATACACTGATTAATGACCTCAACAAAAATGGATTCCACACAGATGACATAGTTATCTTGAAGACCGGCAAATTTGTTAACACACTGTGCTATAGAGCGCAGGATGGGCTCAAATTAATAAAAACATGGTGTAAGGAACACTCACTGTCGATCAATCCCAAGAAGACTGAGATGGTCCTTTTCACAAGAAAAGAAGTTTATCGGGCTTAAAATCTCCAGAAATCTTCAATAGCAAACTAAACTTCTCTGAAGAGGTGAAGTACCTTCGTACTATCCTCGACAGGAAGCTAACCTGGAACTTCCGCCTACAGAGTAGAGCAAAAAGAGCATATGTGGCTTATGAACAATGTCGGAGAACAGTGGGACGCACATGGGGTCTTTCACCCCGTGTGGTCACCTGGATCTACACTGCAATAATAAGACCTATGTTAACGTACGGAGCCATTGCATGGGGATTGAAAGTACTACAAGCAACGGCCATCAAAAAATTATGTCAAATACATCGACTGGCTTGTTTAAACATCACAGGAGCCATGAGAACAACACTAACGGCGGCAATGGAATTGATTACGGGTCTGACCCCTCTGGACCTGTACCTACGTTGAGGAGGTTGCGTTAATGGCCATGGTACGATTGCGCACGGCTGGTGTAAACCTCGAAGTAGGAACGGGTCAATTGAGGCTGGGCCTATGGCAAGAAACGCTTACCGCGCAACCTCTGCTGCAGGCAACCAGTGATGCAATTGAACTCAGGTTTGTATTTGATAAACCCTACAAAATACAAATAAAACAGAACACAGAGTTAGATGCTACAAATGCAATACACATATATACAGACGGTTCAAAAACTTGCTGGTATCTCAATCGCCACAAAATGAATAACAAGGAAAGGAATTTCTGGCAAAAAAATAACAATCTGCACTGACAGCAGACAAGCCCTATTAGCCTTGAACAGACAATGTATAACCTCAGGGCTAGTACTAGAGTGTCACCAAGATTTAGCCAAAGCCTCGGTAGATAATAACATTATCCTGAGGTGGGTTGAAGGGCACGACAGGAGTAAAGGTGATCGCATTGCCGACTCTTTAGCCAAGGAAGCGGCTGGACTGAGAATTTTAGGACCCAGTGCCACCTGCGGCCTGATGACTTCGACAATTGCGGAACCAGCCTAATGTTACACCCATGCTCAATCCTTAAAGAGATGGGATGGAATCAAAGGCTGCAGTCTTGCCAGGATCACCTTGGGCGACCCTGGGATACTGGCCCTGAAGAAATATCTGGCGATGACCAGGAAAAATCTGGCGATGACCAGGAAAAATCTGTCAATGTCAACTGAGGAAACACCTCCATAATATGGGGCTAGTGGACACACCTCTATGCAGGATGTGCGAACAGGAAAATGAGACTGTCAGGCATGTCCTATGCGAGTGCCCGGAGTTATCGTCAATAAAAGAGTATGTGAGTGTGAGTCTTGGCCTACACCTGCTGATATAAAGGAGATGTCTCCCAGTGACCTGTGCACCTTCCTGGAAAGGACATGATGGACGATGACTTAGTAGGACAACTCCTCGGGAGGATGTACAAAGGGTCACATGTGGACTAAGTGCTGTGGACTTACACTCAGCCTCCATACTCTACAGATACAGACTACAGATACAATAGAAATATGAAAAACTCAAAAAGGAACGAAAACAAGCTTGATATGAAAAAAACACAAGCGACGAAAAAGTTGTATTTTCAGTTGCTCAATCAGAAAAAATAAAAAGCTACAAAAAGTCAGTGGCTTACTTTTTTTCACAATATTGTTGGCTGTGGTACCCACTGAGACGCCACTGGACCTAATAATTTTAATCTACATCGGGCTAAGTAAGCGCGTTATTACTTCAAATAACTATAGCAAATCTCAATGAAATCGGTGTGTAAGGATATTCATGATTTTTTATAAACACCGTTTTTTCAAACTCCAACGCCCTGTATTTCAGAAACGAAGCAACTCCGGACATAGGAACTTTCTTTCTTAAAACGGCCAACGAATCACCCTCTGAAGTTTCGTATCGTAGTTAGGAAACACCCTGTATATTACTATCAATATCTTATCAGGTCCCCTTCTCCCATATTAGAGGATCTTCAAGCTGCTCCGATAAAAACCATCACTATTTCAGCCACACCTAAGTCAACCGGCAAAATCAAAAAAAACTTTAAAAAAGGCTAACCAACCAGCGGAGCCTGGAACCCGCTCAACTCATCACTGAATCATTTAACTTTATAAATTCAATTTCCTCTTCTTTTTAAAATCTATTTTTCCCTACCGTGTTTAAATTATGTCCCGTAGCTTGAAATTTAGTCACCTTAGCGTTAGATCTCTATTCACTGGGTTTGATGAATTGAAGGATTTTATTCCAAGCAATGATATAGACATTATTAGTATCTCGAAAACGTGGCTCAGTCCTAATATTTCTTACTGCCATGGTACTCTTGGACTACAGTAAAGCATATCGATACATTAGACCAGAATGTTATGTGTAGGAAAATGTCATTTCTCTGATTTAGTGAAGGGGCTGCAGATCTTTCGAAAAGTTACCTCAGAAATCGAACTCAGTCAGTATGTCTGGATGGAAAGTGTTCTAGTGCTTTATCTGTTGACTATGGAGTACCTCAGGGCTCTATCCTTGCCCCCATTCTGTTTTCTATATATATATATATATATTGCCCATCATTATGATCAATCCATCATTATGCAGATGACACTCAGTTATATTATATTATAAGTAACTGGCAGGTGGCAATGGAAAAAATTGATAGCGATCAACAAAAGTTACTGGATCTATCTATAGCCCATAACCTGAAATTGAATTCTAAAAAAATCTCAGCTGATACTTTTTGGCCCGAAACACAAAAGGGTGGGAAATTGAAGGAAGAATTGAAATCCAACTTGGACAAGACTTGGGTTTATGGCTAGATGCTGATCTGAGATTTCACAAACATATAAATTCTCTTTGTCGTAGCTCGTACAGTATCATACGTCAACTCTATCAAAGTAGAGATATTATGACTTCCAAATTGAAGTTGAAACTTTGCGAAACCCCTATATTGTCTAGATTAGCATATTGCAATATAATCTACGGGCCTGCTTTAATACAAATTGATGTAAATCGTTTACGAAAAATACAAAACAATTGCATTCGTATTTCTTATGAGGTGTTCGAGGAGTCAGGTTACCGATTGCTAAAACCTGGCAGTTCCACCTACTCGACAATACACATAAATTCCTCATTTACAAAAAGCCAAATTATATTCATGAAAGATATAAAACTTTCGAATCTCAGAATAATTCGATGAGACGAAACCGTCACACTTTTATTATTTCAAAACACTCGACAGCCTGCTTTTCTCGTAGTTTTATTTACAACTCTATCAAACAATATAACGCTCTGCCCAGTGAATTTAGACACTACTTCATATACCTATGATCTCAAGAAAAAGTTGAAAACATATCTGAAGTCTTCTGGATAGATAATATATTCATGTTATGCCTTGCTCTTATGGTTTTCCCTTTGTCTCACTTTTGTGTATGTTTTGCTATATATTTCACCTTATTTTAGGCTAAATAGATTTTAAATATTTACTTTGAAATTTATAACCTTCGTTTTTTTCTTAGTTTTACAAAGATTACTGAACTATTCACTTACCAATGTATACTAGGTAATTATTTTTATATTTCTATATAATACATGCTATCCCCTAGGTTAAGTTGTAAAACAGCTGAACTTCGCCCTTTTATTAATTTTTGTATCTACTTCTTCTTTATGAACAATGTATGTCAATGAATAAAGCCCATTTATTATTATTATTATTATATATTTAGTATTTATGAAAAAAGAAATAAATACCCATTTTTATAATGAGTAGCATAAGAAGTGAAAGATACAGAATTTTCCCTGAAGTTCATCGGTTTCCCCAAAACAATATTGATTCATCCCGAACGTCATATGATTCGCGGTGATGACTTGCTTAGAGAAACCCCGCTACCACCGACAATTCGCGAGAAAGTGTACGACAAGGTTCTGCACGTGACCACTACGGTATCTAGCTTAAAACCGTGGCGCCTTCAACAACATCACCACTCGCGATTCAGTCTTGTAAACGACCCAAACCGCAACTTTACAAGAGGAATCGACATGCCTGCCACTGGCGAAGACCATATACAGGACGTCGTCGACGACGTTGCTACGTTCAGCGACGCTGCGGCGTCTTCCTCGTCGGACGAAGAAGTTGTGTGTGACGGGTACGTGAGGGCCCCTACGAAGACAGCCATAACATCTAGGAAAATGGTTACTTTCGAGAGTTTACCTACCAGGAAGGACCACGAAGAGTTCATCAGGAAGTGCGTCGATGTTTTGCTGAAACAAGCCGTTTTCGAAGGTACCGACAGAAAGAACAAAGTGCTCAACTACGAGAGCCCGGAGGAGCTGCAGAGAATCTTCGACTTCGGTCTCAAGTCACTGCCTTCAACCCACGAAGATCTATTGCAGCTCGTGAAAGACACCGTTCAGTATTCGGTTAAGACGGGACATCCTTACTTCGTGAATCAGCTGTTTTCTTCGCTGGATCCTTATGGGTTGGTTGCCCAGTGGTTGACGGATGCCTTGAATCCCAGCGTTTATACCTACGAGGTGTCGCCTGTGTTTACTCTTATGGAGGAGACCGTTTTGGAAGAGATGAGGAGGATCGTGGGGTTTAAGGATGGCCGGGGGGATGGAATTTTTTGTCCTGGAGGGTCTCTGGCTAATGGATATGCTATTCACTGTGCCCGGTATAATTTCATGCCTGATGTTAAGGTAAGAAATTTTGGTTTGGTCCTATATCGAAGTAATAGTATTTTACGTTAATAGTATATTACGTAGTATAATATTTTAATACCTTTATGATATTTTATAAACGAAATGAATGACGAATTTTATTTAGCAGTTTGATTTTGGTTAAAACATATACAGTGTCATCTCCAAAGTATGTACCTAATGTAAAACTTATTTATTAAGGGTTTTTCGACAAAATGTTGTTCTTGATAAAAGTTTGTGCATCACCTAAAACTAAATATGCATCAACAAAATACAGTAAAACACACGTAATATACGAGGAGCCTTCAAATATTTGATTTTGAGACACGAGTAAAGTACTCTTATTTTGAAAAATCTCGCAAAATGTTATTTGAAATAGTTGTTCAGCATTAAAAAATACATTCAGATTTGAAGTCATGGCTATCTAAGCGAAGTTTTATTTTTTTACCCATTTTATTTCAGTCGGGACTACGATAAATCGACAGCATCCTCTATACGACGGTTCATTTCAAAAGCCTGTAATATTATGAATTACACAACTATGGTGTTGACCACAGTCAATTTTATTTGAAGAGCAAAATAATTTTCGAAGTTTTTGGTGCAGTTATTTTAATTTTTTGTTAACACCGAAAATCACTCAAAATTATACTGTATTGTATGTAACAAGAACTTAATATTCAATAATATCAAATCACAAAACATCAAAATGAAATAGGTAATTCGGAACCAACTTATTGATTTTCTTGAGATTGTTTTGTCCAAAATGATTCTCCAAAATAATCTCTAGAAAATTATTCTACTCTTCAAAAAAATTGACCGTGGTTAACACCATAGTTGTGTAATTCGTAATTCTTTCGATTGATGACTTATTTATTTTGTAGAAATTCATGTTGAATATAGAATAAAGAAAATACTTTTGTCTAGTTTCTACTGTGTTTATTATTTTTATTGTTACTTTACTCTTGTCTCTAAATCAAATATTTGAAGGCTCCTCGTATATTACGTGTGTTTTACTGAATTTTGTTGGTGCATGTGTAGTTTTAGGAGATGCACAAACTTTTATCAGGAATAACTTTTTGTCGAAAAATCCTTAATAAATAAGTTCCCCATATGGTGCATACTTTGGGGATGACATTGCATGAAAAATTATAATTGGAGTTTATTTTATACTTTTCTGATATTTTCCATTCACTGAAGTTGGTAACATATATTCCACAAGTGAAAATACTTAAAGATTAATAATAGGTATCAATAGATGTATGGATTTAATAACATCTGTTGCCTAGCTCTTGCTTCATTCATTTTTTCAATTGGTACATGAAAAAAGGTGTAGTTAAAACTCTGCAAAGTGAATACAGCACAATCCAAATTGAAAAATGTGTATTTAGGAAAAAATAAAAGCGAAAAGGTATAAGTAATAAGAATATATAATGTTCAAAATTTCATTATTTGAAATTAAGAAAGAAAACATTATAAAAAAGAAGTTATTATCTTTATTTACATTTACAATTAATTATTTGATTAAGGTGGTAATGGTTGAAATAACGTGGTTTTTGAAGAGTCAGGAAAATTCTTTGACATTCCGATACAACTTGTAATAGAAACTGTCGTTGTTCTTCTTCTTTTGTCAAACAGTAATTGCAGTCTTGGATTAATTTTACCTCTCTTTCAGCTGTGTCTTTGACAGTTTTGAAACCGTTCACTATTTTTTTGCTTTTAAATAATATGCATTTTCACACCATATATCAGAATAAGTATATCATTTTGTATTAATTTCAATTCTTTTGAAGAAATTTGGAGTTTGATGAGAAACAAAAAACTCAATATCTTAGTCGACTTGATGTACACTGAGTTTTGCTTTCACATCTTTATCATCACATGTTTTTTTACATCGAAGAAAGATAATGCGATTTGTTCAGAGTTGAGGTACCACAGATAATTTATCATTTAAGACAGTGCCTTGTCTGCAAGTTCTTCATCAATTTCTCTATAGTTTACAAGAGATTTTAAAAATTGTAGGTCTTGGTTGGTGGTCAAAGTGGGTTTGGGGGCGTTGAACCACGCTTTTACATAAATGTTCATTGAAAATGAACAAATATGAGAGATATCTTTTTTTTCTAAATTTGTTAATGTTAATTGTTGCCTGAAAAGATATATTTTGATAAAATAAATGGCCTTTGCCATCCATCTAGCGTGATGAATGGGACCAGGTACTTGCTTTTGAGTAGCAGCCGCTGCAATTCCAACTACATGATTGTGCCAAGACATAATGGTGTCCATTTTAACTCCCAACAAACTCATCGAAGCAGTAAGCGGAATTGTCTGTCTTGACATTATTATATCCGGTTGGGAGGCATTTATCTTCTCGCAGAAAACCAATGCCTGGATTTTTGGTGATATTCAATTGAACCTGAGTACTTTCACCCCAATTCAAAATCAGCCCTAGATCCTCATTAACCATCCAACTCATGTGTAATTACAACTGCATCCAGTTGTAATTACACATGAGCATCCAGTTGTAATTACACATGAGTTGGATGGTGATTCTGGCATAACATATCACAGGACAATTTTTCAAGTTTCAACTATTAGCAGTTTTTTCCAATAATCTTCGGTACTACCTCTTCACTTAGTCGCTTTGAAGCATCGGTTCCTCTGCAGCTTCTAGGACTTATTGCGTTTTCCCTCATTTCCATGACACCCATTTCAACAATATTGATCCCTGTATTAGTCTGCATAAGTCTCTTGCTGAACACAATTTGGGTTGTGCATAAATTGTTTGCCTCTTCTGATCCAAAGCCTCAGAAATATGACAAGCTGGCTCTGTTCCTTTGTTGCATCGCCTGCCGTAACGGCCCATGTTGTATAGCCCTATTTTGTTCAGGTGTCTTTTGAGTATCCCTGTTACTATTCTGAGCCGTTCCTTGCTATGCTGAAGTAGTTTTTTGGTCCTTTTTCACACTGTCCCTTTATGAAGGTTTTCCTGGGTATGTTTTCCCAGTTGTCACTTTTCTTATGACTTATTTTTCCAATCTGGTTCCGCACCAAAGATTTTGGTACCCCCACAGCTGGTTCAGGGGAGTTTGAACCTTTTTATTTCTCTCCCCAATATATCCTTAGTTTGAATAAAAGTTTGTAAGATGGTGAAAAGTTTTGATAATTTCAATGTTAGGCTTGCTGAGGAAAGCAAAGAACACTATTTCTTGGTGGAGATTGAGATATTTATTTTGAAGAATTTTTCGTGTATGTGGCAGCGCAAAAAAAAAGAAAAGGTGACCGCATTTAAAAGGAGCATCTACCAAACTTCGCAAATTCAGATATAAAATAGTAACAAAAATAATAGGTATATTTGCATTTGTAGCATTCAAAATTTGACATGAACTCAAATAATTTCATTAATATTCAGGATAAAATGATGGTCGAAAAATGATTGTGTCCCTCAAGTTTAGTTGTAACCAATATATTTTTGATGAATGAGTTTAAAAATCTCATCAAAAAATGTGTATTAAAAACACATTGAAGCAACTGGGCCTTTTTATTCATTTTTAGGCTACAAGAAATCTAGGGATTGCTGAGCTTCTAGATTCAAATCGCAAAGGATTTGCAAATTGGACAAAGTCCCCCTTTGCAATTAATTTTATTGCATAATTGATAAACTCCTGAAATAATCAAGTAATTAAATGAATTAATCACAATCATCTATTTGATGAATACTTCATGAGATTACGCATTTAAAAGCGGGCATAATTAATGCTCTTGAATATGGCAATATAAACGGGTTGATAAATTTGTCAGTGGTTCTCATACACGTAATTTTTTTATGTTCATATCGAAACGTGAAATTTATTTGTATCTGATGGAGAAAGTCTTCATACTTTGTAAATCGAGGGTTCTTTGTTGCTATTTCACAAACATTTGTTGAAACCTATCATATATTTTGGCTTGTCAGTGCTTTTGAAGATATATCTACAGAATGAGTCAACGAGAAATGGATGAGGTCGATTTGTTATAGTTGGCACTTGGAAAAAATTGCTCAATCCCATCTATATTTTTCGGAGAAATACTTTTGGTTTTCTATTTCTCCATCTTTTAACAAAAATGTGGGAGTCTTTCAAACTCTATAGAACTCTATAAAAAGATGTGTAGATCATGCAAAATAGTAGGTAGGTAGGTAGGTCTAAAGTGAGTGGGTCTATTCGACCCTCCACCGCAACCCATAAGGGTTCATTGTGGCTAAATGCAAAATAGTAACTCTCAGACATAAACTGGAAGAAAAATCATTGAATTATACAGAAAACACTTCCTGTACCCTTGAAAATTCCTAATGGAATTGAATCAGATTTAATTCACAGGATTGCTACACAATATAGTATATGAAAGAAGCTTAGCCATAGGGCTTAGTCAACTGTAGTTATTCGACAGGTATAACTGCAACTTCTATAGCTTCATTTTCATCTATTTCATTTCAAAGATTTTTTGTAGGTCTATTCTGTTTCCCTAGATTTGACGAAGGGTTCAGAAATGTATTTTTATTGACATCTTTGTCCAGTTTCTGGACAACGATGCAATAATATTAGTGCACGTACTGTTTTCATCATAAAGTTTAATATCAATAATTATTCGCTATTATATAATTCATTGTGAACAGAATTATACCTCTTTGGGATATTTCTCACTGTTTTTATGGATCAATAACCTTCCACAATTTGATGAATAAACAGAGCTAAATCAGTAGAGAATCTGCAGGAGTGTAGGTACTAAAAATCAAATTGAAGAGTTCATCTCGAAAAGTTACTGCGTGATATAAACTACTAAAGAGTCCAAATAATCAGTAACCTGTCATAGTCATAAATTTTGCCTACAAATTGAGAAAGCAGTACATTTGTTTTTTGGTAGATTTTATTCAAGAACCGAGAAGAGAAATCGATGACCTTTTAGGCGAGGTATCGCTTGATTACTGATCCTTTTTTAAAATTATTGGTTCTACCTCACCTCACTAAGAGGGTGGAAGTGACAAGTTTGTAAATGAGCGCAAAAGATGTTCCCTTAAAAAAAGAAACTCTACGGGTATGCGCGATTTCTGTTTATTTTATCTGAACGCCAATTACGAGAACAGTGTTTTAGAACAGTCATCTTTGAATTCTTAGATTGACTAAAATTCTTGAACTGTCTTTCATTTTCAGACAAAAGGACTCCATTCTCTTCCTCGTCTAGTGCTCTTCACTTCTGAAGAAAGCCACTACTCCATCAAGAAACTAGCTTCTTTCCTCGGGATTGGATCCGATAACGTCTACTGCATCCAAACTGACAAAAGAGGCAAAATCAAGATCAGCCACTTGCGTGAAGAAATAGAAAGATCATTATCGGAAGGAGGGGTACCCTTCATGGTATGTGCCACTGCTGGGACCACCGTGTTGGGTGGATTTGATCCTATTGAGGAAATTGCCGATGTTTGCCAGGAGTACAATTTGTGGTTGCATGTTGATGCTGCTTGGGGTGGAGGGGCTCTTATGTCAGCGAAGCACAGAGGACTGATGAAGGGAATTGAAAGGTATTTATAAAAATGTTTTGGGGGAGTAGACTAGTCGAAAGTAGATGAGTTTTGAATGGACTGGAAATTAAGAAAACAAGTATCGCAAAAAGTACAGAGTAGAGCATACTATGGTTCAGTGCATTGTCACCTGGCCTTTGGGGTTCTTGCATTGGGCACAATCTCATCAACCACAGATACTTTTGTAGAACAAAAAAAAATCTTGAGAGGAGCAAACTTCAGATAGTATATATGCGTGAAATGTAGGTTCACACACAACTGTTTATTTATACAGTGCATACGGAAACCAGTTATCTGAATTCAAAACAAGAAGAATCGTTATGTAGAGAAGTGAAATACATTTAGAGCGAAAGGTTATTTTCATACAAATTTTGTCCGACTTTGATATCTTCCTTCTTTGAAAGTTTAGAGGTGAGCGACTATTTACTGTTTAATGGAAGCTATACTGCATATCCATTAAAATATAAACACATAAACAGTTTTACCAAAACGTAACACGGGTTTTGCCATACAGTGGCTTCTTCTAGGTACATATTCGATGCATTATATACCTAATTTTTCAATTTGAAGTACCTAAATTTCAAGTAGCTGAGTGTTACCTGACCATTTGATGTTTTATGTGTACCTGAGTTTGTAGTGAATTAAACTACCTGAGCTTATGTACCAGTTTGCACATTTGAAAAAATATTTAGATACGGGTTACTTAATTCAATTTGGTTCAATTTGTTGGTTGTTTGGTTGGTTTGTAAGTGATAAACTTCTACATCGCTCAACCGATCGTGATGAAACTTGACATGTATACGTAATTTTTTATAGAGAAGGTTTTTAGGTCTGTAAATCGCCACCAGATGGCGCTGTAGAACAATTTTTTGAAAGCACTGTTCTATAACGCTGCGCACGCCCAAGTTCGTTGATTCTGATTCTGTCAAAACATTGGAACAGCAGCGATACAGCAACATAGTACTAGTTTTGAAATACCTGAAAAAATCTGTAAAAAAATAAAGAAATTATCTGAAAAATAAATATATCAAGCAAAAAACTTAAATTAAAATAAAATAAAATACAAGCAACAACCAAAATAAAAATAAAACCATTAACACGAGATGAAAATAACGTTTCGATTGTTAGTATCGACAATCGTCTTCGGGTGATAAAATTATTAACAATGCATAATTACATTTTCATCATCTTCCTCTGTTGCTCTGGCAGTACGTTGGGAAAAAAGTATTTGATTGAGTAGTACTAATTGAAAAATCATGTCGTAGATGTGTACTTCTTTGTGCTCTACATGAATCATATAGATTTTGGTTTGACAGGGGGGCAAGTCTCGATGATAGTGACGTCACAGACATTTTTGAAACTAGGATTTTTGTGTTTTGGTTTGTTTCCGGGTTTTGCCGTGGTATTCTCTGGCTGCAATCTTCGAACGTTTCAACTGCAACTGTGGCAGTCATCTTCAGTGGCCGAAGTTCTCTTCTGATTCAGTGCTACGGATGGTGGTTTCGGATCTGATCCCTAGCACCCTCACAAAAACCAGGCCACCAAACGCTGACTGCGACTCCAAGAATTGCATTTACCGGATACCCTGTGAGTGCGGCAAATTCTACATCGGTGAAACTGAGAGGCTATTGAAAGTTCGCATTGCCGAGCACAAGAAACACACAAAACGAAGAGAAACCAGCAACATGACCCATCAACATGACATCAAGTGGTCCCAAGCTGAGATCATCCACAGGCAGGAACACTGGTTCAGGAGAAAATTCAAAGAAGCTGCATACATTCAGTCAAGCGTAGAGATACGCAACATAATAAAGCGGAAAACGGTAACTCCCGCCAAAGGCCATCTCCCGCCAAACGGCCATCTCCCGCTAAACCGGTTCAGCGGAGAGGTAAGAGGGGATAGGTGAAAGCACTCGTATGAGCTATAAATAGTCATCTCTCGGAAGTCCAGTCATCAGTGCTCGGTTGCACGGTACTGAGGCCGTGGGGGTCGAAATTCAACTGAGAAGGGGTTGTCACAGAATAATCTCGGTTTACAACCCTCCGAACATTCGTCTACTCCCAGAATCTCTGGATGAACTGCTGATGGGAAGCAACATTCCGACAATTGCTGCTGGCGACTTCAATGCCAAGCACAGACCTTGGAGCAG